TGTAGAGGGGAATTAACAGGAGATAACTGATAACTGACATCCATTAGACATGGCACGTGGAACTAGAACAGTCTACCCCCGTAAGCGAAATAAAGGGTTCGGTTCGACTTTCCAACCACTTGAAGAAGGCTGGAGCGTACAATGGCTGAAAAGTTGTGATAAATATGGCAACAGTCCAGAGGACAATAGTCCAAATAATGTAAATAGTGTATATAAAGATTTATCAACACTGTGTATTTTCTTTTAATCATGACATAAGGCCAATATACAGCTAAGTCAGTCATGTGGTGGGAATGGATGTTGTCAGATGATAAACAATCCATGCAGAACAGATAACCTTCCCAACTACCATATTTATAAACATAGCTCGTTGCACACCAGTGAGTCTAAATAGGAAAACATGTTTTTATTATATATCCAGTGTTATGTAACTGATTTACATGAATGAGAAGGAAAAAAAAAAAAATTAAATTCCTATTTGCTGAAACTTTTGCCATAAAATTTTTCTATTTGCTAATTTCAAGAGTTGATGATAAAGAGAAGAGATTTCAACTTTTGATAAAAGTCCAGCTGAAATCTTCCTAAGTTAAATTTAGTTGCAGAATTAATAATCACAATGTTTAGTGACCTTTTGCTTAACTTTAAGTTATACACTTGCAAATTAAACACTGACCAACTGTGGACAGGCAAGCCACAACTGTGTCTCCCTGTAGGATCATTAAAATTGTCAACATTCCATTATACTTTTCTGTTATTATATCAGTGTTCTTCAATTTACCATCCATTCTTGATCAGTTCATTACACAGAGGGAATTTCATCTATATTTCCAATTTAGAACCCTAACAAAAGATTTAATGTTTTTATAGAAATATTTAATTTTTGCGTAATGAGATATCAAAATAGACAAGAAAAGAAAAAATTGCATTAATATTTTCCTGACTGGAACTCTTAACACTTTTGTTCTGAACGTGATATGCCTAAAGAAAATTATTCATTTATGTAAATAATCACAACTGTCATATCAAACAGTTGAGACATTTTTGACCCAACCTTTAAAAAATGGGTTTAAAAACAATTTATCTAGAGTAATAAAAAAAAAAAATATGTCTTAGACAATAGACTAAAAATAATGATTTTAAAATCCTGCATATTTTTCCTAAGGCTGTTATGTCTCAAAAGTTTTTTTTATTATGGGAGGAATGGGTTGTCATACACACCCTGGTATGACATGGTCATCATGCTTTGGTTTGATTTGGTTTACAGCATATCAACCTCACTGGGTTATTTAATGCCAACAACTTTTTTTCCTGGTAATATTTTGTTTTGTCAAAACTCTATAGCTAGTAATATTATTTTAAAAAATGTATTGCTGGTAATATTTTTTTTTCAAAAATATATTGCTGGTAATAGTTTTTTTCTTTCAAATATTTATCTCTGGTAATAATTTTTTACAAAGTATTTCTGGTATTAAAACCTATTTTTTCACTTTCTTAATGCTTTTTACCTCAGTTTGGGGGGGTTAACTATTTACCCATAGCTGGGGCCCTAACAGGTGCTACCACCCCAGGTCAGGGTGAACCTGGGAACACCAGCAATTAAGAGGTGGTTCCATGCTCCTCAAAATCTCCTGATCAGAGGCCTTGCTGCTGGACGTAGTTTATCGTCCTACCCAGGATGGACATGGTCACCATGGAAGAGTCAAGATGTCAAAACTAGAAATGATTCTTATAAATCTGGTATCACACTTAAAGAAGCTTCAATTGCAATGGATAAATCAGTCGTTTCTAAACTTTTGCAAGGAAATTCCTTGTTTTTCTTGTAATAATTTCTTTATTTAATTTCTGTCATTGCTTTAAACTTCTTTTCAACTATTTGTGATCAAGAAGTCCTTAATCAGTCAAAAGCTCAACATATTATCCAATCACCCCCAACATTTTACTTTGACTATAAGACAGAATCTTATCCATATGAAAATATGGATGTAGACTGCAAAGACTGTTTCTAACCTGTTTTACCAAAGCAAACTTCAAGTCAAGTGCCATATTTCAACCAACAATCTTCCATGAGAGGGTTATTTTTTTTTCTTACCTGCTCTGCTATAACCATACACATAAATACCTGATAAACAGGCTTTCACTCTTACATATTTAAAGCAAGAATAAAGTGATTTTCATAATGGACATAAATTATTACTTAGCAGTTTTGATCAGCTATCAAGCAGGAATTTTTTTAACAGGTCAAATAGGAACCTCTGAAACCTGAATAAGCAGTTTAAATCTGAAATATTTAATCCAAGATCTACCCACCTGCTCTCGTTTTTTTTTTTTTTCATTAATCCAAAGCATATCATATTTCAAATTATAATCATTTTAGCCAGATTCAAAATATTACAGTCTAGTCGACTTAAATTTATTTTGTAATTTTTCTATGAGTTGTTTAGGCAATTAAATCCTTTGAACAATGCGTAAAAAGATGATTTCTCAAAATTATAGACAGTATCTTTATTTACAATTTTTAATCTTATTTCTACGTAGCAGGTTAAACTCGGCTTAAACAACAACAAAAAAAAAAACCCTTTTTAATTCAATCTAAATGATTCCTAAAAATAATTTGTTTATTGTAAGGCTATATTTTATCTTGTCAGGACATTAGCTGAAATAAGTTTGGCACAAGGTCATGTACACAAATCCTTCACAATAAAGATTACTTGCACACTAAACATTGCATAGTGAAAGATTATTTGCTTAAATGTCACCTTCCACCTTCTACTCAATGGCAAATCATTTACTATTTACTAATGATGGCTAACAAAAAAGTGTGAATTGGTGTGTATATTTACTGAGGAGGTATCTTTCAAAACATGGGCATGTGGCCAAATGGTTAGAAAGTTCACTTTCCGACCATGAGACACCCAGGTTCAAATCTTATCATGGTTGATTTGTCAGGAAGATGATTTCTTGATGTTATCCACCTGGGGAGGTGATCCCAAAGAGCGGCACCATTGGAAAGTGCCTGAAAACCATACTACGTGTTTACCCAAGCTTTGAGTAAAATTGATTAGATGGAACTATTTGTGAGCTGTTGATGATTGTGCTTAGCACAAAGTTATAAGTCACCGTGATCGAAGGTGTGACTGTACTGGCCTTATAACCACCAGAAACTTTAACTGAGGTCCACACAGTTGGACTCTGTGGGTGTTGACCGAACACAAATCTGTCTGAGCAGGTATCTGTAACAAGGATTCCCTAGCCACAAATATTTGAAATTTTCTGACTATTTGTTCTATAAAGTAGGATATAAAAAAAAGTCTAACTGTGGCAAAGGTAATACCTTTCCTCAATAGTCAATTTAAATGTCTATATGTTTTTAAGAAAGAATATTTTCTGACCAGATGGGGAGAGATCTTCACTATGAGAAGCTGTGACGCTAGAAAGATGCCAGTCTGCTGCTACTACATATATCCTTTACAGCCCCATCCTGGGTAAGACAATAAACTATGTCCAACCGCAAGGCCTCTGATCAGGAGGTTTTGAGGAGCGTGGAACCGCCTCTTAATTGCTGGTGATTTCAGGTCTGCCCTGACCCAGGGTGGTAGCACCTGTTAGGGTCCCAGCTATGGGCAAATAGTTAACCCCAAATACTTTGTAAAGAAATACTACTAAGAAATAGATTTTTGAAGAAAAATATTACCAGAAATAGATTTTTGACACAACAAAATATTACCAGCAATAAAAATTGTCGGCATGACAACCCATTGAGGTTGATATGCCATAAAACAAAACAAACCAAACCTTTACAGCCAATCCTCTGTCTCTCCTGCTGATGCTGTGGCATAAACTAATTACAAGTTTAAAAATTTTTCTTTGCTTGATTCTTTTTTTCTTACAAAAATTGAAGAAAACAACTTTGTATTCTGTAGTCAAGATTTGGAGTTATCTGACATTTTCTTTAATCTCAATAGTTCTTTAGGATGCAGGCGATTATGATGCTGTACAGCTTCGTTTATTTTTCAGTTTGTATGAAATTCCATTGCTTCTTTGGAAAGAGAGTGGTTGCCAGTTGCCTTTCAAGTGGTTTGGAATTCAGTTTTTCTTTCTAAACTGACTACTGTGAAAGGCTGATCTCTCCTGTTTTTGTTGTTTTTTCTTTTTCTTCTTTTGTGTGTCCTGGACAGACACACAGGCAATTATATCTCACTAGAACTTTGTGTCTTTTGTAGATCTAAATGTTTGTCCCCATATTGTCCCTCTCAGTCTCTGCTTTGCTATTCATTCACACAAACTCAATTTAGGTAGGTTCACTTCTGTTTCCTGTTGCCCTTATAACTTTCAATATGTCCTGTGAGTGTTAAATTTTTCAAGCTGTCTTTCCTCATAATGTGTCCAAGAAATTTCTATTCTGTATTATTGTCCTTTTTCCTTAAAATACCACCATTGCTTACATATTTCATCTGATTTTCTCCACATCCTCCTTTTTAGAATCACATTTGTCCATTTCATGTTATTGTCTAAGATTTACTGTTATATATATGTTTGTGTGTGTGTGTAGGGGGGTGAGGTGGCTATGCCATGTGGGGAGGAAGTGAGGTTGGAATTTGATAACTGTTACACCAACCACACATTGGAACAATAACAATGGTGGAATTCTCACCTTATCTTCAGGTAACTTCAATGCTTCCTAGGTATTGTTGTATAAAGCAGTATAAAATGAAAGGGCACAAACTCTTGTAGGAGGTTGAGTGGGTGGGGATGAGAACTTGGCCATTTTTTATTTTACCCGTTCATATCTACTCATTTCTAATTACAGTATATACTCTCTTATCATGTGACTTTTGAAGACCTTATTTTGAAGCTGTTTTTAAGGGGGTTGCATTATACACAAGATATAAAATAATAGTATGTACTGTTGGTTCTGGCTATGCTCTTGATCAAACTATATATCCATTTACTGTAGTCAAAAAATACAACTGTATTTAAAATGAACATGATTTTGATAAAATATGTCTGTCTCTCTATCTCTCCCTTTTTTCTCTTGTCTCTCTCTCCCTTTTTCTCTCTCTTTGTCTCTCTCTCCCTTTTTTCTCTCTTGTCTCTCTCTCCCTTTTTTTCTCTCTTTGTCTCTCTCTCCTTTTTTTCTCTTTGTCTCTCTCTCCTTTTTTTTCTCTCTTGTCTCTCTCTCATCTTTTTTCCTCTTGTCTCTCTCATCTTTTTTTCCTCTTGTCTCTCTCTCATCTTTTTTTTCTCTTGTCTCTCTCTCTTTTTTTCCTCTTTGTCTGTCTCTCCTTTTTTTCCTCTTGTCTCTCTCCCTTCTTTCTCTTGTCTCTCTCTCTCCCTTCTTTCTCTTGTCTCTCTCTCTCTCCCTTCTTTCTCTTGTCTCTCTCTCTCCCTTCTTTCTCTTGTCTCTCTCTCTCTCCCTTCTTTCTCTTGTCTCTCTCTCTCCTTTTTTTCTTGTCTCTCTCTCTCCCTTTTTTTTCTCTTGTCTCTCTCTCTCTCCTTTTTTTCTCTTGTCTCTCTCTCTTCCTTTTTTTTCTCTTGTCTGTCTCTCCCCTTTTTCCTCTTGTCTGTCTCTCCCCTTTTTCCTCTTGTCTGTCTCTCCCTTTTTTCTCTTGTCTGTCTCTCCCTTTTTTCTCTCTTGTCTCTCTCTCCCTTTTTTCTCTCTTGTCTCTCTCTCCTTTTTTTCCTCTTGTCTCTCTCTCCCTTTTTTCTCTCTTGTCTTTCTCTCCCTTTTTTTCTCTCTTGTCTCTCTCTCCCTTTTTTTCCTCTTGTCTGTCTTTCATCTTTTTCCTCTTGTCTGTCTTTCATCTTTTTCCTCTTGTCTGTCTTTCATCTTTTTACTCTTGTCTGTCTTTCATCTTTTTCCTCTTGTCTGTCTCTCATCTTTTTTCCCTTTTTTTCTCTCTTGTCTCTCTCTCCCTTTTTTCTCTCTTGTCTCTCTCTCCCTTTTTTTCTTTCTTGTCTCTCTCTCCCTTTTTTCTCTTGTCTCTCTCTCCCTTTTTTCTCTTGTCTCTCTCTCCCTTTTTTTTCTCTTGTCTCTCTCTCATCTTTTTCTCTTGTCTCTCTCTCATCTTTTTCTCTTGTCTCTCCCCTTTTTCCTCTTGTCTGTCTCTCCCCTTTTTCCTCTTGTCTGTCTCTCCCCTTTTTCCTCTTGTCTGTCTCTCCTTTTTTTCCTCTTGTCTGTCTCTCCTTTTTTTCCCCTTGTCTCTCTCTCTCTCGTCTCTCTCTCTCTCTCGTCTCTCTCTCCCTTTTTTTCTCTCTTGTCTCTCTCTCCTTTTTTTCTTTCTTGTCTCTCTCTCTTTCTTTTTTTCTTTTTCTCTCTCTCTCTCCCCTTTTTCCACTTGTCTCTCTCTCCCCTTTTCCTCTTTGTCTCTCTCTCTCTTTTTTTTTCTTGTCTCTCTCTCCCTTTTTTCTTTCTTGTCTCTCTCTCCCTTTTTTCTTTCTTGTCTCTCTCTCCCTTTTTTCTTTCTTGTCTCTCTCTCCCTTTTTTCTTTCTTGTCTCTCTCTCCCTTTTTTTTCTCTTGTCTCTCTCTCATCTTTTTCCACTTGTCTGTCTCTCCCCTTTTTCCTCTTGTCTCTCTCTCCTTATTTTCCTCTTGTCTCTCTCTCCCTTTTTTTCTCTCTTGTCTCTCTCTCCATTTTTTTCTCTCTTGTCTCTCTCTCCATTTTTTTCTCTCTTGTCTCTCTCTCCATTTTTTTCTCTCTTGTCTCTCTCTCCCTTTTTTTCTCTCTTGTCTCTCTCTCACTTTTTTTCCTCTTGTCTCTCTCTCTCCCTTTTTTCTCTCTTGTCTCTCTCTCCCTTTTTTCTCTCTTGTCTCTCTCTCCCTTTTTTCTCTCTTGTCTCTCTCTCCCTTTTTTTTCTCTTGTCTGTCTCTCATCTTTTTCCTCTTGTCTGTCTCTCATATTTTTCCTCTTGTCTGTCTCTCATATTTTTCCTCTTGTCTGTCTCTCATATTTTTCCTCTTGTCTGTCTCTCCTTTTTTTCCTCTTGTCTGTCTCTCCTTTTTTTCCTCTTGTCTGTCTCTCATCTTTTTCCTCTTGTCTGTCTCTCATCTTTTTCCTCTTGTCTGTCTCTCCCTTTTTTCTCTCTTGTCTGTCTCTCCCTTTTTTCTCTCTTGTCTCTCTCTCCCTTTTTTTCTTTCTTGTCTCTCTCCCTTTTTTCTCTCTTGTCTGTCTCTCCCCTTTTTCCTCTTGTCTCTCTCTCCCTTTTTTTCTCTCGTCTCTCTCTCCCTTTTTTTCTCTCTTGTCTCTCTCTCCTTTTTTTCTTTCTTGTCTCTCTCTCCCTTTTTTCTTTCTTGTCTCTCTCTCATCTTTTTTTTTCTTGTCTGTCTCTCCCTTTTCCTCTTGTCTCTCTCTCCCTCTTTTTTCTTTCTTGTCTCTCTCTCCCTTTTTTCTTTCTTGTCTCTCTCTCCCTTTTTTCTCTCTTGTCTGTCTCTCATCTTTTTCCTCTTGTCTCTCTCTCCCTTTTTTTCTCTCTTGTCTCTCTCTCCCTTTTTTTCTCATTTCTTATTTCCCCCCCTCTCTCTTCTTGCTACTCTCTCATCTCTTATATGTGATAATATTATCCCTGCAACTATTTTTGCAGTGGTCAAGCATGAAAAACATAAACATGCTAGAAATTCGATCATACATTTTTTTTAATGGATTTTTATTTCAGTTTTCATTCACATTTTTTTCTTATTTTGTGGAATATTTTAATCTTTGTAAATTGAATTATTGTTGTTAGAGATTGCACTTGAACTAATGTCAATCTTGGTCAGTACCTAGATGTACCAGTTGTTCCTTATATTTACTTATGTGCAATTACCCTTTGGAAAGGTATAAATCCACTTTTCCCCCCAGCTAAGACTTGTATTATTAAACCATTATTATCTCCCCACCCACCAAATTCTTACAATCTAAAAATATTTTCTAGCTTTAAAGCTAAATTTTTCTAGCTGCAAAGGGTTGATAAGCCATAAAAAATAAATCAATCAATCAATGTAATACACTTAACATTTTATATAATAAGTGGAAATCTTTATTTTTTATTTTTTTTTTTTGTCCGTGTGTGTTCTTTTGCATTCTACAGTGGTTTGCCAGATAAACATTTTATTTTTCATTGATTATCAAAAGGTTACAGAAAATCCTGATATGACAGTAGTCATGAACCAAAGTCTAAAAATGAAATAATCATATTTGGGGAAGTTGGTAACTTAAGGGTTAAAGATAAAGGTCTTTAAACTTTGCCATGCAACCAACCCTAATGGAGTGGAATTAATTGTTTGGGAGAAATGTTAAAAAGAGGAAAAAATAGTTTGATATTTTACTTTTCTTTTCAGTTTTTCTTTCTTGAAAAGTAAGAGACGGGATAAATTTCTTTTACCCAACTATGACCTTTTTACTTATCTGACGCATCACCTTGCAATGCGTCTTGGTGATAATACTTAAAGCATTGACATTCTCACATTGACAATCAAAATAAGAGACTTGACTTTTTTCTTTCCTCTTTGCTCATTGTTTTTGTTTTCTTTTTTCTCTTTCTTTCTCACATTCTTTCTGACATTTTTTAAAATTTCTTTTATTTCTCCCCCCCCCTTCCCGGAAACATGTTTGGTCTACCCTTTGCCATAATTTCTTTCCTAATCATCTACACACAACTGTCTTTCTTTATGGTCAAGTGAAAACTTGAAATTTTCAGTTGACAGATAAAAATGTCCTCCAGGAATTGTTGGTTTCTTAAGAGCAACTTTAAAACAAAATACGATGGCTATCAAATAAAAAAAAATAAAATAAAATACCGTTTATTGAGTAAGCAAAACACTTATCTTTCAAAATATCACCAGCGCGGGAAGAATAGACAAAGATAGAACTCTGTGTGTAATATATGTGTATATATATGTGTATATATATGTGTATATATATGTGTATGTATATATGTGTGTGTGTATTTAGGCAACAATCCTTCTTTCATGCACATTTCATTGAAAACGGCAGACAAGGTGCTTTTATTTAGTTTTTTGTACAATTTTTCATACGATCTAATAATTTTATCCTTTCAGATGATAAATTATATAAAAACTGTCCAAATGTCCTTTTTATCTGAGCACTTTTGGCTATACATTTAGCCATTTTTCAGGATTATATTTTAACTGTTAAAATAAAAAGTTTGTATGTTTTATAAAATGTTTTCATTTTTTCAAAACATGGTCAAGATATTTTTTTTTTAATAAGGTTTCCATTATTTTTAACTTTTTTTTGATTTGCATGTAGATGATGCTATTATATTAGTGTTGTCAACAAGTATGTTACAAATAGTGTCTGGTAGGTCTCCATGAATATATATATATATATATATATATATATATATATATATATATATATATATATATATTTACACTGTCACACTGTAAAGCATATAGTGAAATAAGTTTGCTCTTGTAGCCAAATGTTATATTATTATTCAATATAATTATCTTGTATAAAAATTATTTTTAATAAAACCAATATTAAAATTGTATGGCAGGGAATTATGGATTTGTTTAAACATTAATATAGAAACCGTTTTTTATAAAAAATCTTAATTTTGAATTCTATTAAGAAAATTAGAAATTTACTAATGTTAGATGAAGCCAAACTGTGTGTGTGTGTGTGTGTGTGTGTGTATATATATATATATATATATATATAATGTGTGTGTATTTGATGAACTCTCCTGATGTATGAGGGTCAAGCAGCTCAGTTCCTAGAAACTGACAGTCCAGACACCAGAACATATGATTTAATTATAGTGGTGAAGGTTTTGTCCTGCTATTTACCCATAGCTGGTGGGAGAAGAGGATTGATACCCTTTTCCAAGTGTTTCAGCATGTAAGTGAATGTAATGGATTTGACTGGAATTCAAACTCGGCTCTCCGATTCCTCAATCCAAGCCACTATCCACTACTCTACCATGCCGTCATATAAAATGTGGGGATGGGAAATTTCATGTAGATTTGATAAAAAAAGAAATTAGCCTCCAAATTGATATTATAAAAAGTTCACCAAAATGAGGACAGACAGTTTAAACTTTCCATGGCAAAATTTTACAGGATGGGTTTGGCTTTATTTTCAAAAACCAGCTAAATTTGAACTGAAAACAGGTGCAGTTTGATTGGATCTTGACTCTCGATTTTTTTTTTTTTTTTTTTTTTAAACCAATGGGGACAAAAGTATAGGCCCCTTAAGTAATTGGTCTATGAGTTGGTTTTCATCTATGTTGTTTGCTATATAACAGTAAAAATTTTGAATGTAAAGGCAGAAAGGGGCAGACGTCACATGGATGTAGAAAGGCTGTTGGTGAGATGGGATCAGGCCACTCAGGCTCAGATTAGGCTGACCAAGCAGAAAGGTCTGACCATCTCATCCTGTAAAGTCTGCTACAGCTGAGAAAAGAAATAGACCATGTGGAGCACCTGGCATGATAAAACTATTACTGATGTAATTGAATTAAGTAAATTTCCTTTGTTGCTAAGAAATTGATTTGCACAAACTGTTCCTCTAAAAGAAAGTCCTTAAAATCCCTTTTAAACATTTACTTTACACAAACTGTATTTTTTCTAAGAAAAAACTGATTTGTAAAGGTGTTTCATTAAGACGGATTATATATAAGGGCGTTTCATTAAGACTGATCAAGGTCAGCAGTAAATAAATGAGTGTTATTGGTGAAAATTTATTTATTTCTCTATGGGATCATGTTATGTAAATCATGGCAATTATGTGTGAAAAATAATGTCGCCCAAATATCCGCCAAATCTGAAAGAAAAAATTCCTTAAATGCTTAAACTTAATTCACATTAAAATTGGTTCAAGTTATTGGGGCACCCTTTACAATTATGAAATTTGTGCACCTATTAACAATTTCAGATAAAAAGGATTACCATTGAAAAATGGGAAAAAAAATTACAGTTTGGGAAAGGACAAGGATTTTGAAAAAGGAAAAAAAAAACAATTCAAGAAGGCAGTAGTAAAACAAAAGGGCAAGAATAATTTGAGAAAAAAACCCTGAAAACACCCACTTTTACTTGTGCCACAACCATCTCTAGGACATAAAGGAATGTTAGAAAAGTTCCTTTTAAATTCACAATTCATGCTTGGGAAAATTTATTTATATTTTTTTTATTTTTTGTTCTTGGCTGTCCAACCACAGGAAAAATTTCCCTTGAACTTTGAAATTCTTTAGTCTCTCTGCAGCTGGCTGGTAAACATTGTTCCTTCAAGTTCTCTTCTTGACATCAAATGCCTTCTGCTCCTTGATGTTGATTTGCTTTGTCCCTTTGCTGTCAAAGTGTTCTCCCTGCATCTACTAACCTGAGCTCTATATATTTGAAAAATTAGGCTCACAAAGTCCCCCCCCCCACTATTTGGGTTGTTACTAGAACTTGAGACCACATTTCTCATTGGTCAGTAGATACAAAAATAATAATTTTCCATAAACTGAAAATGGATCCTTCACAAATTTTGACAGGTTTTAATTACAGAGCCGAAAAAAAATATACGGGTGTAACAATTTTTCCCCCACACTATCTGGCCTTTTTAAAAATACACTCCTCGCAAAAGAACATGTACTAAAAAAAAAAACAAAAACAACAACAATCTAGGAAATTAAATATTTAATCAAGAGTAACATTTTTAAAATAGTAAAAATAAAATTTTTATACCTCTCTCAATAAATCCTTATACTTGACAATGTACTTAGTCTAATGGCGAAATATTAATCATATCCAACAAACATTTTAGATTATCTGCAAGCATGCCTACCAGGTAATGTTCTATTCAGGGCTATAAAAGGAATGGATATGAACACTCTCTCTTTTTTTTTTTTTTTTTTTTTATGGAACTACAGCCAGAGAATTTTTGTTCACTGGCAAAATGACTAATTAACATCAAAGAAAACATGTAAACATCACTCACACATACGTGTATATATACACTGTGATTGGATGAGTACGTGTGACATATATGAGTGAGATAATATTTTACGAAAACTCCCCTCACAAGATATGAAGAATTGATAGATGCATTGAATGTGATGGTCACTGATTATGCAAGCTCATTCTATATCACCTTTCCTGTAGACAAGTACGATGTGAGAGCGTCTATTTTATGTTTTATGCCTATGTTATAGACAAGCGTATGGTTGCAAGAAAGAAATACGACAGCAGTAGAAATAGATTTACGTGGTTTATTTCAACAGGAACGTGAGGGTTTGGGACAGCTACCTTGTGGTAAAGTTCATAAGCCGGCTTTTGGATGTAGGTCGATCTCTCATAGTAGTTCACACATGTTGATGGTGGTTGGTGCTCTCCTGCTGACAGCTGCTGAACGCTCGGCCTGACTGGACAGGTCTCCTTTGTGGCCACCTGTTGACTGCGTGTTGAACTTCCGTGTGACCCCTTTTATAGCATTTTTTTATGGCTTAACAGGCTAGAGAAACAAAGCGAGTATAATTAGGAGGGAAGCATTTTTATTGGATGAGAAATAGAGCACTTTAAATATTATTTTATTTTTCGACTGGAAAACGGGGGTCGGGAACATT